ACAACGTTCTCAAAACTGACAGAGCGAGTGGAGCTCTCAACCTGATCACACAGCCACTCCCTATCGAGCCGACCTTGGGGGTGCGATGGAGCGCAGAGTCGGACAAATTCATTTTTCAACTTCGGCTACCCGAGAGGAATCCCACCTGACGAGGGCTTCTACCGTCAGTCTCCAGTTTATATAACTCACTTGGTTTTTTCGCACGGTAGCTGTTACCGGAAAAGGTCCTTCTACAACAACTTTGTCAAAGAAGGACAGAGTGCGATCAACCCTTAGATCAGCAGGACCAAACGGATTGGGAGCAATGGTTGACCAGCCTCAGTAGGCTAGGTGAAATGCGGATCCAGCGCCGACTCAGCCGAAGCAGTCAAGCGGCGAAGGCTGAACCGCACCTATTCTCCGATGCGTCTGAAATGGGATATGGAGCAGTAGCCTACGTACGTTGGCAGCATGTGGACGGTCAGTGCAAGACAGAATTAATTTTTGCCAAAGCCCTGGTCGCCCCATTGAAATACTTATCGATAATCCGCCTCGAACTGACCGCGTCCGTGCTAGCGGTGCATATAGCCAAGCAGTTGCGACAATGCTTCCGTATATTCCAAGATCGCGTCACGTTCTGGATCAACTCCGCTATTGTAATACACTATGTGAACAATATCAGCACTAGGTTCAGCACCTATGTTTCTAACCGACTGACGGTAGTGCACGAAGAGACCAAGATGCACCAATGTCTACTGAATCGTTCCTGATGGCACGCCATAGGCTGATCAGCAGGCGCGGAGCCCCGAACAACATCTACTCCGACAACGGTTCATACTTCGTGGGCGCGTCGAACGAGCTGCAAAGGTGGCTGTCCCGAGTCGACTAGAACGAACTACACAAGCGACTGACACCCCAAACTATCCAATAGCATTTCAACCCGCTGTACGCTAGCCATAGAGGCGGGGTTTGGTAACGGATGATAATGTCGGTGAGAAGAATCCTATTGGCTGTATGCAACCAAACGTTCATCGACGATGAGACCGTGAACACGGCCCTAACCGAGGTGGAGTGCATATTGAACAATAGGCCCTTGACACGAGTCGCGAGTGAAGCCATGAGTTTTGCGTTTACACCGAACGACTTGATACTTTCGAGACCGAATCGCGGGCTGGCGGTAGCACAAACTATCACGAAATATTACTCGAGCAGCTAGAGACAGGCCACCTATCTAGCGGGAGTTTTCTGGAAACGGTGGGTCCAAGAATACTTACGTACCCTACAGGCACATCAGAAATGGATACTCAGAGAGAGGAACTTTCGGGTTGCTGATTTAGTACTGCTTGCAAATGAACTACTGCGGCGAGGTGAATGGCCTGTGAATCACGGAGAACGGCTCGTGGCTAACCTAATGAGCTGGCTGAGATGAACAGGATGACGAGAAGCGAGATACAATGGTACACGACTGTAGGGACTAAGTAGGCATGGTGAGAATTGGTACTCCCTTGAATTTCCCATTGACCGTGTGATGCGAGGAAGGATGTTGCCGGGCAGTGTATTGATCGATCTGTGAAAATCCTTCCCGTAAAGCCCAGTCAATTTATCTCGGATCCAGATCCCGTGAATTCCACGTTCCATTCACCTAACACCATCCGCCTCATACATACA